TGTGATATCCAGGGAAGGTTGTGATTATGGCCATGTGTTTGCTTGTGATACAGTAAGGAAAAAAATTCCAAACACTACACTCATTCCAATTAACAGAAAAAAAGTAGGTTAAAATCCTTCAAACTGGTGGGATATGAAGTTAAAAAATTATATACAAGAGTATCTGAATCTCACAAAAAGTTATCTGCCATGTGATCATGTTTCAGTGCCTCCAAAATCTATCACCTATCGTGGAGGGGATGAGGGGAGGAGATCCTCTTTGTGAATCTTCCCCTTAAGGAGCTGGCGTCCTCAAAGCCACCCACCAGGCATCCTTACTTAACTGCTGATAATACAAACATGTAGGGAATCTACAGGATGAGGAAGCAGCCACATCATGATCCCATCCAGAAGGCTGGGAAAATGAACCTTCTCATTTTGTGACTTGCAGCATGTAGGGAGCTGAAAGCAATTGGAGTTCCTGCTTGTCTTCTGTCACAGCCAAGCATAAATGGATTGGCACTTGGTGATGTGCAGTCTGGGGAAAAGCAGCATGGCATAAGAGAGCAGGCAGCAAAACAGCACATGACTCAAGTGCTGAACAAATGCAAGGAAAATACGCCCTCCCTAAACTTCATAAAATGGATTGTGAACAGATAGCACCAAATCAAAGATACCCAAGCCCTCACCTCCACCCCAGCACAAATATTTCCTTGGAAGCACAACTAGAAACCCCAGCACATCCATACTTAAGGTTAAAAAAAATCAGAAAAAAATATTTGGAGTTGCCAAGAAGTTTTTGAAATCTGATTCAAACAACCTCAAGCTGACACAGGTTTCTCAGCTTTCCAAGACTGAGCTTTTTGGAGCTAGTCGCAAATGGAGATATTAGGCAACGGTATAGGATATACAGGATTAGACTCCAGTGAGATTAAAAAAAATAAACAGTTGGCAAAATGTGCAGGTTGTGGTCCCAAATACAGCAACCAGGAAATACTGGACAAGGCACCAATACAGAGAGGGAGAAAGAACAAGAAATTGCCTATGTATAAGAGCATTTTCTGGTTTAGGTGTGATTTTTCTCCAATCACCGCAGTAAAATGCTGCACACAGCCATCTATATTAAGTTCTGCTGCAGACTAAATTTTTTTAACAGCAGAATACAAACATGTGGTTATTGTCTGGAGCCCTCCAAAACTGGTACATCAAGCCAAAGGGCAGCACAGACTGCTTTGTGTGTCCAACCTGCTGGTTCCTTATTCGCCAGCTATTTTTCTTCATTCCTATCCAGCTCAGTCCTGGCACCAGTGGTTCAAAAATCTTTTTGAAAAACAAAATTCTTGTTTTTTCCTATGAAAAAGCACAGCAAAGCTACCTGAAAGTGGGCCAAAAAAGGGGGAGTATACCTAAATCTGAACAAAGGCATTTGCTATCACAAGGAAAAGGAGCTGTAAGTCAGTAAGACTGGGGTGAGCAGAACATACTGGCAGCTGGAAGAAGCCAGAGAAAAGGAAGTGGGATAGACAGAAAAAGAAACAGCCACTGGCTGGAGCAAGCTTGGGAAGGAGGGGGGGAGGAGTACCCAGGTGCCAAAATATGCAATCATAACCCCATGTATTAAAATTAACTTAGCAAGAACATGGTAAGAATATACAGATGTTTACATGCACACAAATACCCTGAATTGCAAATAAACTATTTCCAAGTAAGATTTTTTTAACTTCAATTTTTCAGCATATAATAACCTTCTACCCACAGACCAAAATTATCTTTGAAGATTATAAAATAAGAATCACGGGTATGTTTATTGGCCTACAGCACATTCCCTTCTTCTCAAGGTAACTCCCTCCATTGATTAGTCTGCTCTTTTCACTAATCATGTTCTGATGAAGCACACGCCAAGGAATGGACAGTTCTGGGAGCAGACTTGGTTTTAGGAAGGTCAGTGGTAGTGCAGGCAAGTTTCATCACCTTGGAATATCTGCCCAGGTTGCTTCAAATGACACCACTGAAGCTTTTCAATCTGTGGCTACTCTGATATAAAAAGCAAACTGTACCTAGCTCTACATGGAGCTTCCAGCTTCCTTTTAAATGAACAACGGCTAAGAAGGGACCAAGGCATGACAGGCAGAATAATGAGGTCTCTTACTCGATTTCTGTTTTGTAGAGAGCAGAGTAAGGGCTTGGCCTCTAATTGTTACTCTCACAGTAGCCTATAAAGCCCCATGAGGACCTTATCACAACCCTCCCACCTATTTTATCACACAACTGGACAACTCGCAGCCAGAAGGTGCTAAGGAAGAAAAAAACCACAAAAACCGCCACAACCCTCAAACCAGCTAGGCTTCAAAGCTGTTGCACAAGGGAAATTTAAATCCTCATATTGCATTGTGAAATTTAGATGCTTACAGCCCTCCTATTGAGAACATGCATGCTAAGTTGAGCCCCAGGAGCCACTGTCTCAGCTCTGGTGGCTTAGGATGCAGACAACTAACGAGTCTGTGCTCAGGGGTTCAACACATGCTACAGGAGACCTTCTTCAGAACACACTCACAGCCCACAGACACTGTCATTCAGGTGACATTTAGTGCTGGGGGCTCTCCTCCTGTCATTTGCTAAATTCAGCTACTAAGTCTAACTTTACTTTCAAACCACTCAAACCCCCATCTCTACCTCCCCAGAAGGTGACTTAAACCCCTAGGACACAGAACAGACATTTTTCTCCCAGCCTGTCACTGGACATCTCTATACTAGGAAGAAATGATTGTGACTTGTAGCCCTTGAAAATAAAAAAATAAGAGCCCCACATTCCTCAGTCATTTGTGGGTTTGAAGTGACAATTGTTAGATGTGAAACGTCATGGGGAAGCCTTCACTTTCAGATGAATTTCCAACTCCTAAAAATCTAACCTGACTTGAAAGTGGTGTATGTAGATCCAAAGCCAAATCAAAACTCCATAAAATTCATTGTAATTGTCTCAAAATAGTTGATTTATGCCTCAGTTTTCTTGAGTTATACCATACCCAGCATGTACATTCTGAAATCTGAATAGAATTATCAAAGCTGCACAAGAAATACGGGTACACATAAAAATAATGAAATCACAAAGTTGTTTTTTTTTCTTAGAAATATATTTTGTAAGAAAACAATATTAATATTAAAAAGGAATGTTTATTATACAGTATAAAATAATTGCTTGAATTCAACTCAGTTCCTTTAACAAAAAAAAAAATTTAAAAGCCTGAGGATTTGTATGAAGCCCCAATTCCTACAGATTTGATTCCTACTGCAATAAATAGAGGGCTTTCCCCACATCATTCATAGAGCACACGAACACTTCAAAATGCTCCCTCATCCCCCTACCCAACAAGCTGATATCCCCTGCGCAGATGTGCTCTAAATATCACCTCTTTATTTGCAGTCCTCCCCCTGGCCCCCGTACCTGCCCTCAGTTTCCATCCACCCGCCTCTCTTGGCCAAGCACTGTACACACGACAACTCATGCTGCAGGAGTCTCCCCAGTTAATCTCTTGGCTAAAATGAACAGTGGCCAGCCACTGACAAATGTATAAATGGCTGAGGTGTTCTCAGCTGTCTGTCCTCATAAAACCTGCAAGAATATCTCTTAACTCTGCCATTCATCTGCCAAAGCTGGCAGAAGGGCGCAGAGTTCTAAAAGCTACAGTGGGAGACAAGAACAGGCAATGCAATGACATAAGCTTCACTTTTTTAGTAAATTAAGCTAAAAAAGTTGCTGTTCAATTGCAGAATTTAACACTGGCAGATTTTGTTGTAGGAAAATATGCATGTTCAATAACTATAAATACCCCTAAACATTTTTGGAGCTTACTATGTATTATTTTGTTTTAGTTTCATTTTTGCATCATGCCAGTTTAATTGCCCTGCAGGTTTGAAAGGCACCCAGTGACCAGAATTCTGGTATAATTATTCATGGCATTGGTATGATTTCATCTCCCTTAATACTGATAAGTTTAAAAAAAACGTATTAAGTTAAGAAGAACAAAGATATATATTACATTTGCTAATTGCAAACAATCTCTTATAGCTGCATTTTTCCCATTGGGATTAAAAAGTGCACAAGTTTAACATGTCTGTACATAAAAACAGTTTAAAACATTAAATATACAAACAGCAAGAGATTTTAAATATTTTGTAACAAATACTATAGGACAATATAATTTACATTTTTTTACACAAAACATTACACCTGAAATATAACTTTAGATATTACAGAATAGAAAAATACATACTTTCTGTTTAAAAAATGTATTTGCAGGTTCTGGCACAAAATAACACTTTAAAGGCACATATTTTGGCAATGTATTTTGCAATTTACTGTGCAACAATAACAATATGACCTGTAATTAATTTTTCAGAACTGAACGGCCAGATGATGTCCCTTCTTCCTGGAATGGCTCTGTTAATCAGGTAACAGTTAAGCTGGACTGTTTAAGTGTTCTCCAACACATTTCTGCCATGGTCTGAGCTCTCCGATCCTAATCCAGCAAAGCAAAATCAGCCCTAACTCAGCATCTGAAAAGCCACATCAAATGCAATGGGAATAGTCACACTTTCATAACATTTGCTGTCTCAGGGTGAGAACACTCAACCCAAACAAAATGCAAGCTGGGAGCCAAGTTCTGTCCTGCTCTATGTTTGCACCAAAACCTGTAAAGGTAAGCAGGGCAGAACTTGGCAACAGAAGCTCAATAATATTAATTATTTTGATTTCAACTACAGCAATGCAAAAGGCACAATGACTCTAGTGAGGCCATTGGAGACAAATGAAGTAAAACTGCTTTAAGACTGCATCAGGAGAACTGTATAATTTTGCCCTTCCACATATTTGCAGGACTCCTGCTGGAATTTGCATGGGACAAAAACATGCCTTTAGAGATATATGGCTTATACAGATGTAATTGGGTTGCAGAAGATTTTCAGTTCTTCAGGTTGTTTTTGGACAACTAAAAACTCAAATTTTCAGCATGCTAAACAAAGATTCAATCTAAATCCCTAACTTTAAATGCTCCAAAGTAAGTTGCTTCTTGTGAAGAATCCAGTAGCGATGGGTTTGATACTTGGATACTTATCATTTCTCCAGATTTTAATTTAAAAAATCCCCCTACATTTACAGAATAAAAATGAAATTCTGAATTCCCTGACCAGTATTTGGTGCTTCCTCCCTTCATCAACACATCAAAGCGCCTTATTTTAAGGTTTGTCTTAATCACATAAACCATCAACTGAAGCCCTCTTTTAGTCAAGTTTCCTGAAGTTTCATGATGTCTAAAACAAATATTGGCATAAAGATAGTAAAATCCATCTTGATTAACAATTAGTTTTCCATCATTGAATGTCATATTTGATAAGTTTGCCTGGCCTTTGTCATGATGCCAGGATGTGAGGTTCACTTTACGAGTTCCTGGGAGAAAAAAAAAAAGAAAAGAGATTATTTATAAACATTTTATAAAGCTCAACATTTAGAAAGCAAGCGCTATGTTTTTAGAATCAGTGGCAACTGTTCTATAGGCTAAAGTGAGTATGAAACAATTTTGATAAAAATTCCTAAAAAAATCTCCTCTTTTCACCATACATTTCCAGACCTTGCTTGGTACTTGTAACTGTGCCCCTCCAGCAGAACACCTGCTGGACTAGGGTACAGAATAACTGCTCGGCCTATAGCTTGATTATGCTAAGCAACCATGCAACAAGCTCTGCACAGGCATTGCATTCCACCTAAAACTTTGTTCAAGTTACAAATAGTTGAGGGGAATGTGAAAAACTTGTTCCACATCTTTAATATGTAGGTGTTGACAAGGAATAACTAAAATTCAGAAAAAAAATGCTGAACTGGCAGTTCCAAAAAGAGAAAGCTTATGAAACCTTCCACATTTTATGTTATGACTGTAGTGGTAGAATGGTAAATATATTTTCATTTGATAACACCAAAAAGATGGGGAAAGGTCAGTACAGTTGCGTATCTTTAGTACCACATACTAAGTTGCCTCGATTTCATACAGCACTTCAAGTATTTATGACAAACTTCCTGATAGGCACAAGCAACTAACATTCTGTTATTCAGGGTAACATCCAGGGCATAACACAACAGATGGGAGGTGGCCAACTTGTCCCCCTAACCATTAGTAATTTTCAGCACACAAGACTGACTCCACTTGCTGCCTCCCACAGCAGTGGGCCCACACAGGTACCAGAGAACTTCACACCTCAGCCTCCCCGTGCATCTAAATGACTGCTTGAAATATTCAGTACCTTATTCTCCCAACATCAAACCAAAACAGTCCTTTCACAAGCTTTCCATGGCACACAGCAGGGCACAGTGCCCTCTGCTCCAAGCATGCACAGAGGCATGCCCCAGGACCCCACCTGGTCTGGGAGGGGAAGTAGGAACAGAAGGATTTGAGAGACATGAATCTCCCCTAACTGCCAAGGGCAAGCGGCTTTTCCATGTGAGAGGAATACTTTAACAGCAACCCAGAACAAAAACCTTCTGGCATTCTTCCACAAAGACTTAAGCAAAAGCACTGTCAAAGGCAGGTCACAAGTAGCTGCTCCCCTATGGGTCTAGTGCAGCCATGTAAAAATTATGAAAGCAAAACCAGATAGAGAAGTGATCTTCTCTGCAGTGCCTCCAAAAATTGTCCAAAACCCACCAATTAACTGGAAGAGACAATAAGACATTGAGTCTCTTAGCCTGCAATTATTCACCTGCAAAATATACTGAGTAAGGGGTACCAAAATATTCTGAGTTAGGAGTGCACCTCTGAAGTACCAGGAACAGACGAGGAAATTACAGGGCTTCATCTGCACAGCATTAAGTCTGGAGAAAATACTGTCCCATGGAGAGTGGGCTACCTTCAAGATGAGGAGGAAAGGCAAGAAGTCTCTGCCTGCATCAGAGGAGAGGCATATTGGATAGAGGACAGGAATGTAAACCTATGGTGGATCAGAAAGGCATGCCATGATTGCCTGGTGGTACACTGGGTAGTTGCTGGGCTAATTTTATTTACCTGACAAGTCAACATTTTAGTTGCCAGTCAAGCTGCAATTTTGAAGAAATCCTCTGTGGGAAGATTTTTCTGCTGAAGAAGGGAAAAGAGAGCAAATAGGTGCCACAGTCACTTGTAATTGAGACAGGGGCTCTGGGTATATTTTTGTTTACACTATTTGGATGCTCAGGGGAACAGGCCAAGAGCCAAAGGGAGATGACCCTCTCTGTTTTGAGCAAAGGATTTGTACAGATAACTTCTGGAAGTCCGTTCCAAGCTAGATCACAACACCTGCTGAGGCAGGCAGGCATTTTGCCACAATTCATAGCTCCAGAAGAGGCGTGCCACAGCCAGCAGCACAGCACAAAGACGCTCTGGCAGGAGTTATGCCATGCAACCTGTAATGGGAGGAGCGAGCAGGTGCTCAGCACTGCTGGTGGTACCACACCTAGATTTGGAGACATCAAAAGAATCAGTACCCTGAAACACAGAAGTGCAGGAAACTGGAACATGTAAGTGCCAGATCTGCTGTCCATGAATGTTATTCTGATACATAACCCAAGCCATGGGACAGTCAAAAGTGCTGCAATACAGTATCTTCTGGGAAATAATTTACTTTGCCACCAATGAAAAAACAGCACAAGGTAAGTCCTGTTGACAAAGAAGAAAGAGGCTGGGGGATAATGAACAAAATAGCCTTCCAGAGAGGGCAAAAAGCTTTATTTAAGAATTCAAGATAATGCATGCTTCTTCTCAAAACTGAAGATAAATAAAAACAATATCTTTCTTTTTTGTGAGCTTGAACTACGACTAATACAAATGAGTTAAATAAAATTAATTAGCAAGAAGGAAGATGATGTGAGTGCAACAGAGGAGAAAGGACACCTGTTTTGATCATTTGTTTGCATCCTCGTAGTTTTAAGGTATAAGTAAAGCCTGAAAAAAGGACCAAAGTACTGTTTGCTCTGAAAAGTCTTTTGAAGGCAAAGGGCAGCTAAGTCAAACCTGCAGCTGTAAATAGTTCAGAATACTACAGCATTTCCTTAGACAGCTAAAGGTATCAATTCACACCCCAAATGATATATTTAACATTATATTTATTTCTGTTTGTTATTTTCCCCTTTAAACTGTGACTAATTTCTGCAATCAATTTATAAACCAAAATTCACTGTTTTCATTTAAAACCTAGGTAGCATTTATAGTGAGCTCTGGTAAAAACCAACCAGCAAGCATCCAGCTCTAACCTAAGGCAGCAAACTTAAAAAACACACACAGCAAGCCAAACCACTACAGCTTCTGTGCCAAAGGGTGGGTGGGGACACCACAATCTGAGAAAGGTTATTTTCCCCCCTCCCTTGCACTATCCCCCCAGCTGCAAAAGTCCACTTGAGGCCTGACATTATTGTGAACCAGGTCAAAGCAAAATGTTCTCTCACAGACACTCGGTACCCCTTCGTGAAGGGTGTTCAGCAGAAAACTGCTTAAAATCCTGTTTGACAGTGATGAAGACTATTTTTTTTCCCGGCCACTGGATTAGTTTGATGACAGTAGAGAACCTAAAAATATTAAGAAAATATCTGTCCACTCAGGGAAGACAGAAAATAATTAAGATAGATTTCAGGCATGCAGATTAAAGAATCATGGGAGGAAAATAGAAATTGCCATTTGCAGTCAGAGAAAACAAGATGGGAGAGGAAAAGCTCCTGGTGACCCCTCAGGCATATTTTTCTTTCTTTAATGCCTGTTACTAATCTCTGTGCTACCCAGCCAAGTGGTTACTGCCTCATGCCAGTGAGCATGATATTAAAGTGCCTCACAACCAGCAGGTTCAGGGTTCTTGCTATCCCTAAGGATGCAGCCCCTCACTGCTGCAATGCCCACAAGGGCTGCAGAAACGGTGCTCATGGATTAACTCCTGCCAATGCTCTTCTGAAAGAGCCAAAAGCCAGATCAGAAGGGAGTATATGCACAGTTCATCACATTGTCAAGAAGTTGATCTACAGCAAAAAAAGAACAATGTCTCCCTGGTTATCACCTATAGGCGTGCTCTGCCACACCCTTAAAGGTTAATGCAGCAATGCACAATCGTAAAAATTATTAGCATCTGTAAATTACAGTTGTAAAATTACAGTCTACATCCAGGTAAGCAGTAAATAAATTCCACTCAGAAAAAGATGGATTTCTCAGAATCTCCACTTCTGCAGGTAAGTGATCTGTTTCTATGACTAGCAAATTAATTTAAACATTCCAAAAGATAAAATGCTAAGGCAAGTTTACTGATATTGAATCCTCTACTATGACCTATTGTTAAAGTAGGTCAAAGCCAAAATTTGATTAGAAGAGAAGATTGTCGGGAGGCATTTGAGCTAACAAGAAAGCTTGTGGAAGTTCTGACTGCCATCTGACAAGCTGTTTAAGCTCTCTGCTATAAAACTCTGGATTGTGGCAATGCCAATGCACTTGAAAGAATCCCATCCCTCCAGGCAAGAAGCTGTACAGAAGTGCTTTGTCTTTAAATAGAACAAGAGCAAGAGCAAGGTATTACTATGCAGTCTGTTAAAATCTCAGATTTCAAGTCTCAACACACTATTCCCCTTTGGCTTGATTATATAAAACAAAAAGCAATGTGCATAGCTCAATTAACAATGAGTTGAGCCCTGCAGAATGTATAAATCTTCAGAGAAAGAAGACTCTGATCAGTGCATCCCTTCTTAGATCCTCTACCTAACAGCTTCATAAAAAACTCTGGTTTACTTATACCACACCAACTGTTGCGAATACAGCATTGAGAATACAGCAAAAAATCTCAACTGACAGTGCCTCAGGGCAAAAACTAAAACTATTCTAACATTATCTCAAAATGTTAGAAATGGATCTTCTCCTCTGGAAAGTGTCCCAAGGCAGACTCATGTCTTGTTCCCTCTTATTATGCTAGCAAGGATATTCACAAAGCCATCTGAATACTTGTGTGCAGAAAATAAGAACTCTGGCAAGATAAAAGAATGCCATCCTCTTACCACAGGGGCAGATAAAAGCCACAAGAACAATGTTTTCCCCCTGCTCAGTAGCTTGGGCAATGTTTGTGCTGGTACATATTTGTATGTATGCATGCATCCCCATGGCTGGTGTCTAGTGGGAGTGAAAACTCCTGATGGGCCCTACAGGCCAAAGGAAAATGGGAAACTTTAGAGGAAAGCATTCAATGTAGATCTTCCTTCCTCATCTGAACACAGCACAAAATGGCAGGATTTGCCCCTCAAGAAGTTGGTCAAGAAAAATGGCAATTTGAAATGGAGGCCATTTCAAATCAGCACGAGACTGATACAAAGGGGAGTCATCCTCCTTTTACTACTCCTGCTGCTCCTGAAATCTTTTAATGCATCCGATTTATTCTCACTATCAAAAGCCATTTCTGAAGTCACAGTCTGTTGATGTTTTGCTGAAATATCTTAATATACTTCACTTTCAATACATTTATATTAGTACTGGAAGTATTCACTTAAAAATCAAACTTACCAGATGGAATATTCCTATCATCAATAATGAGATGGGCAAATGGCTGCTTCTCAGGTTTATTCCTCCTGTACAGCTCAAGTCCTAATGCCTCCATTGCAGCTAGAGATAAAAGAATTGCATTATCCCAAAAAGACAAGTTTAGAGGAACTAAAATATTGTTTATTCATAAACCAACACCTACCTTTTTCTGGTCTTGGTGGCGTTCTTCCCATAGCACGCTGGACTTCCTAAAATGAGAAGGAGATGTTGCTTTAATATTTTCTTGGTTTTGTAACAATGTCCAGTACATTCAGATGTCTGGGATATGAATCATGTAAATATGATAATTTATATAACAGGCATAGACAATCAAATTACATCTAGTAATTTGGTAATTCTAATAAAGGTGGATAGAAATGCTAGTATGTATGATCACTGCATGATTTACTGTAGTAGTGACAGCACATTTAAAACCTTTTCTACTTACTGTACTTGGAATATTTCTCTATAATGGAACAATGATTGATAAGAAGACATCACATCTAGCAATGGAATTTATGAACTGATTTAATTACTTTGAGTCTAAAGGGAAAGAAAGTAGCATTTCTATACAGAAACTAGTGTGTAATCACTCTAACAACTAAGGATAGCTAAACTCTCAATTTAATTTGTGATGAGGTGCATGAAAACCTCCATGCCTCACCACTGGCCACCAACAGGGAAGGCTACAAGGTGCTACAATCAAGACTCACTTCTAAAAAGGTATGCAGGAAGTATCATCCATACTAGACCAAAGGGACTGCGTGCCAGACTTTTAAAGTATGTAATTCTCAGCTGCAGATAAATTTTAACATGAGACCTATGCCGCCCAGACCCAAGAACAGCACAAAATGCAGGCATCAGGCACCACAAAAATCCTTGCTTTTAATCATTCACACCTGTACTCCTCTTGCGAAAAGGATACAAACAGCAGATTTCAAAATTTAAGCAGCCTGGTTTTGTTACAAGCCTAGACTGAGTCTTAATATTAAGTTCAACCCTCAGTTCTGTCTCCCTTTTCCCCATGACTATCTGTTTTCTAAAAAAACAGGGGTAATATGTTATTCTGAATACCTCATACCATGGAGCTGCCAAGAAGCTGTTTAGTAAAAGGAAACATTTTGCTGAAGATAGCAAGTCATGTCCTTTTTGAACCTAGGACTGGTCCTTTGTTTCACCTTTATGCCACGCACACTGCTGTTTGCCTGATTCAATCCATGTATATGAAATACATCAGATTTGGTGAGATCAGCAAAGTCCCACTGTGCTCTCAATCACTGGGGTGTTTCAGAATTTGAAACCCTGCTCTGAAAACACCTGAAGTCCTGCTTTTATGTAGTTTTGCAACCGCAGTGAAATATCTAGTGCCTAGGCTGGTGCATTCATTACTCTCACTTTCCCCTTTCAGTAGGTGCTTAAATGTTAAACCAAAATGAAAAGCCACAGCGGTGTAGAAGTTGTAGTATGACTATCAAAGCATAATACTTCAGCTGAGATATGCTGATTTCATGGATAAGAATCATGAAGATGCTTTTTTTCTGTAAAGATGAGAAGAAAAGCAGAAGAATCACAACTTCAAAAGCAGCAAAACTCGCATTGACTTCCTGCATTTACATTCACTTTGCTTCTCTGATCTTCCTACTTCAATGTCAGTTCTAGGAGCACAGCAGATGATAATGAAGTTCAATTCTAGGAGCTGCATGTCAGCATCAGCCACTAGCCACACATTAGAAGGAAACAGGGAGATGGCAAGAGAATGCAAGTACTAGGTACTGTGAAAAATGACAAAAGCCTCTGAGGAGAACAGGATGTAAGGCAAGAAGAGCTTGGGAGATGGACCACATTCTCAGAGACTACTGCAGCACACCTATCCCAACCCTTTTTCCCTTGAAGGAGAGACATGTTTGTCTTCTTGCTTTCTTAGTGGAAACTTCTCAGATGTGGAGTTTGTTTGAATATCCGCTCCTTTGAGAGGATGTGATAGCGTCCTTGCCTGGAAAGCCTACTAAGCAGATACAAAAAGAATAATTTTAATCTCCTACTATCTAGATTTGGTACCAAAAAAAAAAAAAAAAAAAAAAATCCAATGATTGATAATTGCTCAGCTCTTGAAAGTCCTGAATTAGTCAACTGCTAGTCTAGTTTTAACTTACATTTTTCTTAGGAGCATTCAGTTCTGCTTCTGCACATTTCCAAAGATGCTATAGCTTAAACAGCTGAATACCTCATCTTCTGAAACCCAGCAGCCTGACTCAGCTCATCTTCCACACAGAATGGTTTAGGTCCTCATGAAATCAGTCTGAGCTGCTCTCCTTCTAACTGGTGGTGGTGCTGTTCATCTGCAGCTTCACCACTCGGTAAGCAGGACAGCTGCCCAGGAGGACTTGGGTCCACAACTCTCCTTGTCTGGAATTCATGATTAGCTCAACTGGTTAGATATGGCACTAACAACCCCAAAGATGGGGGGTTTGAGGCAATTGTTCATTGACTCTTCTGTGAGCCTATCACTGGATCAGAAGTGGCTAGACTGTGGCCAGAAAACAAAATCCTACAGCAGCTCTCTATGCTCCAGACTAGTTCTTTACTTGATTCTGACCAGCCTCATGAAAGTTTGATAGTCTTTCTGCTATGTTGCCCCAACTTCCAAAATGAAGTCAAAACACATTAATTAGTCCCTAGAAAACAGATATAGAGTTGTAGGTTTCCTCCTAAAAAATAAGCAGTTATAAACATTTCTTGATTTTTTTTTTTACTTGATGTTCATACAGTTCCAAGGTGCTGATATACAACCTACCTTAGAAAAGCATTTAACAATGTATTTGCTTCTGACTCTGAAGGACATTTTTCAGTGGATGCTTGAAAGTAGCCTCTTAATGGGATTATAAAACCTGCTGGTATTCTTACTGCAAGAAACTAAGAACTGTGATTTCTCAAATCACTGAAGTATTAACTGCATTTTTTAGTTCCTGAATGTTCTTCGGTGTCTCATACTTACAATGTAGAGACTCATTAAGGAGGGAGAAACAGCTCAACAGAACCCGTGACTAAGACACTGCTACAATGGCATGAAAACTGCTGACAAACATTACCAGCAACTTCTCTTAAACTGCCATCCACAGATGCATATGTGATACCAAGCTGTTCAGTTATTTTTAGCAGAACTGTACACAAAAATCACCCCACTCTTAATCTTATGACAAGCTGCACTTGCACACCTTTGTCATTTGCTCACTGCCCACCAAGTCAACTCTGCTGGCCGGCTTCCCACATTCCAACCTCCTCCACACACTCACTGTTTAAACAGCAGACAAGGAGTTAGTCACAAAAATGAAAAGCATGTCTTCCCTTCATCAGAAAAAAAAATAAGAGGCCATTAAGAAGCTCCAAAACTTTCTCATTTTAAAGCTAAAAATCATGTTTTAAGTGTCTGGAAAGTAAGGAACTGCTCTCTACTTCATCCACAGCAGGCTGCAGAAATAACTGCTGCTCTTGAACTTCTGTCCAATGCTGAAGATGCAGAGACAAGGCTACACCTGAAGACATGACAGCTGTGAAAGGTTTTTAGTCTCCTTCAGCTTTTATCTAAATATCTCAGCATCTACTTTGAGCAGCTCTAAGTACCCTTTTGAGACCAATGAGAAGAGAACTTCTGGACTCTTACTTACTGCTTCAGATGTGGTCTTACAGCTTCTTCATGCACTTGATTATTTTATTATCAAGAGCTTTAAGTACAGCAGATACCAGGAAGAAGTATCTGATTCTCTTGCCGGAAATTCAGCAATTTGAAGAATGTTAATCAGAAAGGAAGTAAAATAGAAAGTACATGAACCTATATTCATCAGACTGTAGTTTAGAGACCAGCAATAAAACCTCTCTCCAAATGAGTAGTTTACTGCTTGCAGGAAAAAAAAAAAAAAAAAGGCATGTAAGATGTAGGATGGAAACCTACAAAACTGTAGGTGCAATTTTAACAACTTACAGCAATCACTTGTGAAACCTTTACTTGGTCCACAACTATGTGCTCTTTAAATGTCTGCTAAGTATATAGATCTCTTTATAAATGCTGCCCTGGAGATCTAGCAAAGCACTCTGTTGCCATGTGGGAGAACAGCTTATGCCTTAACTCCACAAGCAGCTAGAACCTGGGAGCACTGCCAAACAAAGTTACTTATGGATTGACCCAGGATATGTTTGTAGTCCTTTCTACTTCAGGCTCATAACAGACTTCATAAGCACTGTGGTTAGAGCATCTGGACTGCCAAAAGCTTTTTAGGGTTACATGGAAAAAAATTAAGCAAACAGACTGGCTAAGAAAGTATATTATTTGTCTGCTTGAAAGTTTATATGCAATATTGAAAATATTCTCTCTACTTAGTGAGCTGCTCCTTAAGCAGAATTTTTATCAGAGAATATGTTAAGGAATCAATCATTATATTCTGATTAAAAGAAAAATCGTTATTTTTTCAGGAGACAAGTATTTTTAGATTGGATCTTGCAGACCTACTACACTGTTTTTCATAAGAGCACTTCCACTTTCAACATCAATCTCTGCCTTACATTTAAGCACTCTGTCTACAGGTGTGCAAAGAAAACCAATAAGAACTGGCACAGGAAGCTAGAAGTGTAACCAGACCATAAACCTGAGCAAAAGAAATTTGTCTATTTTCACTTCCTGAACAGCTCGAATTGCAAAAGACAATATATTGAAAAAATCAAAAAACACAAATGGTATTTTGAACTGTTCCATTTTAGTCACTTAGTATGCTGCCAGTTCAAATAAGGATACTGGTTCTTAAAACACACAAGTTAGATTCTCCTTAAGGAAAGTGAAGAAAGCACAGACAACAGGAAATCTCATTTAAGTCACATTAGCTGGATCCACACACAAAGGAGTGTGTGCAACTGCAAGTAAGTTATAGCTGCATCTCTGCTCTTCATTGTAGCAGGATGACTGAAAGGCAGAATTTACAGATGATGATGATAAAGTATATGAAGTATATTCTGTCTTGACACTGTTGCTTTCACTTCTCTGATGTACCAAAAAAGATGTAAAAGCCTCAGGTCGCCACCTTCCTATCTATTTTTTCTCTGTCATTGATACATGACAAAGCATCCAGACCACTGGTGCAGCTGCTTAATAAACTCCACTGCATTCAAAAGAAATTCAGAGTCTAATTACTTTGGCAAGGGAAACTTTATTGTTCTCAAACTAATGGTGATCAGCCAAAAAAGTTATCCCTACTCACTACTTATCCCAGCCACAGCCATTGTAGCATTTAACCTCCATCCAGACTGGCAGGATATAAAGTTTCAGCTAAAGCCAGTGCCTTTGTTGAGTAACCAGCAGCAAATGACCAGAACACTGGGTTCCCCATTGACTTACTGCAACAAGCTCCTTCCTCTGTCATGAGTGAAGGAGCAGCCCTGCACACAGCACATAATGTAGGTGCAGTGTGAGAGGCTCTAAAACATGCAAGAGGACATCCTACAGACATAACCCTTTGTTTCCCCCTTAAGGTGTTGAAGGAGGTGGCTAGCAAAAGGGACAAGACATAGACTCCTGTGTCTCTGTGTTTTGTTCACAAAAAAATATGTACTTAGAGTTCTCTGTTAAAACTAAATATCATATTAGCACAATTCAAATGCTGTAAATTTAACTCAAGTACAGTTCATGCTAAAACATATGTGAGTGCAGCTCAAATCTAATGTAATGCAAAACTGCCAGTCCTATGAAGATGTGAGGCAGTAAAGCTGTAATGGGCCTGATAAGCCAGAAAAACCAAATACCATAGCAGACATCCATCTGTTACACAGCCCATAATTAGCACTAAACACTATCATGAACACAAAAAGAGATCAAAGGCAGTTACTGCAGTAAAAGGAGATTGTGGCATACTTTCAGCTTGCCTAGGCTTCTTCATTAGGGTTGACTTCTTTTGTCATTTGTGTTTGGGAACAACCTGTCATTCTCAATTCCTGGACAAAGACCACCCAGTTATCACGCTACAGCCAAGTAGGTCTTCTGCCAGCGTGTGAATTGCCTGCATACTGGCAAAGGGAGCAAAACCAAAGCAGGAACTGACCCTCATTTTGGACTCCAGACTAAGAAACAAGAACAACTGAGAGCAAATGCTATCTCCTTTTCCTTCAGGCAATATTTTGCTTGCTGATGATCTTGAGTTAAGAGAATCTTATTTGGAAGATTCCCTTGAAAAGAATGTGGAACTGACACCTGTTAAGAGCATCTGGAAAACCTATACAAGTCTTAGCATAAATTACTACTGTTCAGGCCCACCCACATGTCAGAATGGCTAATCACCTAACTTCACTTTTCTTAGTACAACTTCAAGTCTTCCTTTCTTAAAAGAAAAATAAAATTAATAAAATGTACTTGAATACAGAATTGGCTAGCCACTACCAGAATCATCAGCAAATACAATACAATCCGGAATAAAACATCAGGTGTTACTCAAACACCAGGAAATAATTCATATAACTTACCTCTGAATAAAGATTTCAGAAAAATTGTTTTAGTTTCAACAGGACCATGAAATAAAGAAACACATTGTCTGTGCCACTTACCCTCTGCACAGCCCTTTGGAGAGCCTGTTTTACACTTCTACAGGATTCTGGCATTAACTTCACTTCTTGACTTTCAAAGGAGGCATCATGCAAATCTGTACTTTCTTGGTGTCCAAAAAGTGTTCTGACACAGTGTGCATGTTCTTTTGAAATTCTAGTAGGGTCCATCTGAAACAAAAACAACACAGTTCTAAGTGTTAGAGACTTTTCAACCACCCTGGCTAAGTTTATTATCTGAATTCTCATTAGTGTCAAGAGAAACAGTTCCAAACATCGAGGTTTATTTCACCCAACAAACATGCGAGATAGGAGAATAAATTATCTTCTGGTGCTGCCTATTTCATTCGCTTAGACTAGATATGTCTTTCAAAAGTTAAAGATAAATCCCACTCTTATGGTAAAGCAAATAATTTTGAATTCTGTATTTCAACCACTCAGGGCAATATCACAGTTATTTTAGCAGGAAATATACACAGCTATCCTACCTCAAAAGCTATTGTTTGTAAGATGATACATGAATGTCAAGTAGAGAAACTTGGAAAAGTTTGTATGCGTGCGTATAGCACATCATTTTCAAGAGAAGACACCGAAGTTATCTCTGAAACCATTTTATCACTGAAATGGTATTATCACTGAAGCTGTCAGTCAGCTATTACTGAAGCTGTTTTATGGATGGGCTCATTGTGAATAGAGTTTTCTTCACAGTGGCTGTACAGTGGCATGGGGCTGTGTTTTGGATTTGTGACCAAAACTGTTGGTGACACAGGGATGTGTTTGTTACAGCTGAGCAGGGCTGACACTGAGTCAGGGCCCTTTCTGCCTCCCACCCCAGCAGAGAGAGGGCTGGGGCTGCACAAGGAGCTGGGACAGGACACAGCCTGGACAGCTGACCAGAACTGGCCAAAGGGATACCCCATGGCATCATATGGCATCATGCGCAGCATATAAAGGTGGGGGAAGAAGGAGGAAAAGGGAGACATTTGGAATGATGGCATTTGTCTTCCCAAGTCACTTCATGTGTGGTAGAGCCCTGCTGTCCTAGGGATGGCTAAACACCTGCTTTCATATTCTATTTCCTTTGTGTGTGCAGCTTTTTCTTTACCTTTTAAATTTTTTTTATCTCAACCCATGAGATAAAATTTTACTCTTCCAATTCTCTGCAGAATCCCATCAGGGAGTGAGCAGCTGTCTGAGACTTAGTTGCCAGCTGGGATTAAGCCATGACAGTGGCAAGAGATACTGCTGAGTGAAATAGTCACAAAGACAGCAAGACAGCAAAATTTAAAGACCAAAAGATGATTAAACTGCACCACAAATCAGCTCTGCATCACTGGACAAGGAATGGTAAGTTTAGAGTACCTGCAAGACATTTTTATCAATCAATCTTTGTGACTGAATTAGGTATATTTTTAAATCCTGCATTCTATCACTTCGATAAATTGGAAGACAATCCAAGGATTAGGATTGTACCTTAACAGAATTTTATTGCACAAAAACTATTTAAACTATTTCACCCTTTTTTCACTTTTTACTCCACATCCTTTACACTGAAGAGATTAACAACTATCTTTCAGAGATGGCCAAGGACTCTCAGAAATTGTTCACAACTCACATTTATTCTGCTTTTACTTCAGGCTTAAAGGGTTTATGCACTCAAACTCTTAGTCTAGGTTCTCTAACTGTATCAGCTGGCCTATTAAAGAACACTTACTTCTATCTTTCTTAGTTGGAAAAAACACTTTTACCTGAGAATTACCAAAGGTTATTTGCAATTGCAATGCAGAAATATCAAGACATTATGAACGGTATCTAGTGTTCAGTTTCCTTTAACACAGAGCTGAACAAAACAGCAAATCAAAAGGAAGTTTTTCACAATACAAAACAGCCAGAGTGAATCAAGCATGTAATTTGTTCACAGAACATAAATTCAACACCCCTCCCAAAAATTAGTTAACTTAAAAGTGTAAGGTTAGGATTACAAAGCTGAATTAAAGTCTACACCACCCCAGTAGCCATCCAATAGTAACACACAGCAGAGAGACATCTGTTGCACAGACAGCAGTACCAAATGCTGTCTCCTCCATCACCATCCTTCTGCTCAAGTCTCCACATGGAAAGCTCTTTGCCCAATTCATTCAGACCAGTATCAGCTCCTGTAGCCTGGTTTAGCTGTTTCAGTCATCCCTGCATATTTGGAATGAAACAGGCATAGGAGGTTCACCTGACGATCATAAGATGCCACAGCTTTGAGCAGAGGGGTAGTGATGAGTTACAGAATGGCTTGGAGGCAGTAACATCTTCCTGTGATGGCCTGACACAGCTGAATCCCCAAAGAAAATCTGTATATAGCCATTGCAGCTCTATGAATCCAGTGCTAAAAACCTACACTAATGCTCACTTCTGAAGTGAGCTAGTGCAGTGCAGCCTCATTAACTGCATAAGGAGATCTAAACCAGCATCTCTCTGCTCTGACCCCCTTCACCACAGAATTTAATTCCTGGATTTCAGTCTCCTCTTCCAAATCACTAACAAGGGAAGAATTTTTGCTGGCCTAATTTCCTTTATGATTAGTTCCCCAAAACCAAGTCACTCCAGATACATCAGACAAGCATCAGAGTCAGTACATGGATAAGAATGAAGTACCAGGAAGGCAGCACTAGCTTTAGCTGACTAGTCGTAAAACTGCACTCTTAAGCATCTCTCACACTATGTTCTACTTGTATTCAGAATTCAGAAAATCAACTGTAAACTAAAATTAAAAAAAAAAAAAAAAAGCACAAAATGTTTACCAACAGCTGCTAAAAGACAGTTAAAGCAGAATGACCTGGGTAGGAAGGTACCTTTGGGCAGCCTCCTGCTTGAAGCAGGGCCAACTTGTAACTTGGGTCAGGTGGGTTAAGGCCTTGGACAAGCTTTGGGGAATGTCCATCAAGGAAAACTTTCAGCTTCTCTAGGCAAACTGTCCTAAAACTTCACTACTTCTAGTGTGTAAAAAAATCCTTGGTTTTTACATCCAGCTACAGCTCTCCTTGCTGCAATTTATGACTGTGCTTCTTGTTTTTGCTGAATGCTTCTGAAGAGCCTGTCTTTGGGTAGCTAAAAACAGTGATTAGCTTCCCTCACCTTAGTCTGTTCTTTGTCAAAGAATCCAGCTCTCCATTCTCTTACATATTATGACTCCTACCTGTAACAGTAGTTTTCTGCTGGACACCTTCTATTTTTTTGATATATTTTTGGTACCAAGGGACCCAAAATAGGACCCATTATTTCAAATGTAACCTCTCATGCTGGGATCATTAGAGACCTGACTGATGTCTCTTAACAGGATCTGGATATCTGAGTCTTTTCCTGTCTACACAAATCATATAATAGAACACAGAAAGGTACAGCAAATAACTGCCAATACATACTAATTTGTATCAGTAATTCTACTAGACAGAGACAGCTATCCCAGTTTTGGATTTATTAAAACACATCTGAATTACAAGCAAGAGAACTCAGTTTTGTAGCACAAAGATCATGAAACTTGTAAAGGCCTGAGTGTCCAGCATGACAAATCATGCAAGCATAGACTCATTGCTATGAGCAATCATGCAAATGTGTCACACAACACTGTATCACAACAGTAACAGCAGATTGCATTGAATCCCTTGCTCAGATTACAGTTTATCTGCTCAAGACTTAAGACAGAAATCCAGCATCTCTGCACCTATAGGCAAAGGACCAAAGGCTTAATGGAAACACTGCAGCTGGTGGTTTCAGCAGCTTGGAGCTGTGCAGCCCACCCTGACAAAAACTGCAAGTCTCCAGAGGTACTGTTTGATAAGGGGAAACTCTGATCTTGGGACTAGCTAACCCACCTGTTGCCCTCACCTTTTTCAAATAATACCTTCAAGAATAGTCTTCACCACATTTAACTATGAGAAACAGCTCACTTGCCTGAAAAGGACTTCTCAGAAATCCTGCATCGTAAGTCTTTACACTGAACTGCCATGGCTGTAAACAAGCACTACCAAGCACTGAGATCAAAACTGGGGTAGTAGTGATGCACAGAAAAACTTCCAAGGACGTATTTTGAGAACTTCTAAAGAATGAGAAAATTATGATGAAATACCAGAAGCAGCTTGCTAACTTCCAGGGCAGGGCACCTTCAGCAAAAAGTTTAAAGATCTAATATCTGGAAGAAATATCAAGATGCAAACACAAAGGAGAAAGCTTTATAAATTGTGAAGTATCCTAAATACTCTAGAGGAATTAAACTAACTTATTTTTAATATCCACTTTGTCTGACTTTGAAATCAGGTCAGACTCTTCAGTGCCCCCAGTTTTCAGCATCTCTCATCACTCTAGCTATATTTCTGGACTCTATTCAGCCACTTCAGGGCAGCCAAAATGAACTACAGCATCATGGCTTAAATTAACTTACAGAATTAAGAACCAATTTTCTGATGTAAAAAAGACTCAGTTTGGTTTTAAAAGACACAATACATTCCACTCATCTTTGCTATTAAATTTTGCAACAATTATGCACTGTTACAATATTGCATTAAATACTTACTCCTTAAAATAAATGTTTACAATCTATACTTGTACTTCTTTTCAAACTTAAACCACTTTCCAGCCTATCAAATATCACTCTGCACTCCATGACCTTTCTTAAGCACCAAGAAAGGGTTCTTTCAGGCTTCTGAAAGATGTTACTGATCTTCAGGAAACTGTTTTTTCTGTTAGCCACAGTGCTCACAAAACTTCAGATGAAGTCTGAAAGGCAATAGTTTAAAAACATACCACAAGAATTCCACATAAGTATGAAATGACAATAAAAACTGGGCTTCCAGGTCACCATTTATCCAACTGTGAACTCTTCAATCTGGTAGAATACTTGAAATTTGTACAGACTTTTTTTAAGGGGAAAAGTGCACACTCTTGGAGGTCTAGCTTAAACTGTGGGCATTAGACACTCAGCCACCACATTTCATTTTGAGCACTTTCAATTTTCTTCACTGCCCTCCAGCTCAGTCAGTGTTAGATCAGAATCCTACTCTTTTGAAAACTAAGCACACCAAGGAAATGGGCCAGAAAGAAAAGCTCAGAAGCTGAGCTTTTAGAGACTATACCTCAGCATTTATCAAAGTTGAAGAAAATACTTCTCTCACCTTGTGCTATGCATGAGTCTCTATCAAATGATGACCTCCAGCTGCTCTGAATATCTTTAAAAGTTCATGGCATTCTTACAGAAAATGAGAAAATATTCCTCAAAGTATAAGCAAAACAAATGCTTAGGATCAATACATTGTTTTACTGTTTAATTTCTTGGATTCAGTACACTGCACAGGATAGATCAAAAAGCAAGGATAAAACATGCTGATGTTTTTACATTTCAGTACATTATTATGAAAATACTGGTAAAATTCAAACATGTTGTTTTTTATTTCTTTCTTTTTCGACATACCAACTCATTGTCTCACTTGCATGGCACTGCATTATTTCTTGGCCACAAACATATGTTTTCCCGTGAAAACCTAGTGTCAGTCTTAGTTATGTGTCTTGTGAAATTTCAAATGCTCAAGCCACAAAATAAACAAAATTAAGGAAAAACCAAAACCTCAACTATTGTCTCAGCTTATACTATGTCATGATCCAGCCTAAATGATTTTATGCAAATACAGACAAAATGTGAGTGGTAAAACTGAGTCAGAGTTTACTCAGACTCTTAGATAAGGTTTTAAAGAGCTTCTAAGATATATAATTTCTTAATATCAGCCTATATAGTCAAATCTTTCTAATTCACATTTGCTTAATTTACCAAGCAAACAATTCAAATCTTTTCATGCACAGCTTCTACTACTAACACCTCATTATTTCAACAAAATTAAATAAAAATAATTAAATTCTATTATTAAAGTACAAACTTAAGATAGCTGAAATTTACACTGAAAAAGGCCAAATTGAAGTAGCTTAATAAAATCAAACTTCACAGAAATTTTTTTCAAAGGAAAGAGGCCTGATCATGTCCCATTTAAATAAAATAAATCTCTAAGAGCATGAAATAAGAATTAACTGCTGCAGGACCTACTATGTTTTTCCATCTATATTATTTCACAATTAAAAATGGTGAACAAACACAAATTATCGTACCTCCTTATAGTGAATTATGTACTTAATTCAAGAGTATACTTATTATCCTATTTTCCATTGATGACACTTTTTACATTAAAACTTTTTAGACAATTACTTCAGTCAAGCCTACATTGAGTTATATCACCTCTTCTAGATATTTTGGAGACTCAAATTTATTAAAGACTCCATTCAATAGCACTACTCCAAATCTATAAGAACAAGAAACTAGCAAGAGAATTAAGCTGTCAAATGCAGAGTTACACCTGAACCATGCAATTTTTTAAATCAAGGAAGCAGAAGAAAAATAGCCATTATGGTTCTTTTTACCCTTTGTAAGGCACACATGAAACCCTGACATGTACCTAGCAGGAAGAGTCTTTTATAAGGGGGTACACTTTGATTAGCTGATTTGATTGCAATGGCTCTCGAGCCCCCTAATGAATATACAGCTGTGCATCTCCGAGCTATGTTTTGACAAGAATGTCTTTTCAGGTTCATGAACATCTGGAGTGAAAAACATTCCCCTGTCATAAGCTGAAGCAGGCATTAATTTATTTCACTGTCAAGCAAACAAGTAGTTTTAAGCTACTTTACAATGAATCCCAGAAATTAGATGTCACTCTTCTGAAATATACAAGTTATGATTAACTAAGTGCTGTATTGCCGTTACATTTTATTTTTCGAAAAACGGAAAACACAAAGCCATTTTCAGTAAGAAAATATTAATTAGTCTGCATAATAAATTATCAGCAGCAGTACTGTGTATTTGACAGTCACTCATCTGATTAAGCAGGTATACACTTGTGCAACACCTGCTTTCAGAGTGCACTTAGTTAGGAAATCTAGCCTGCTACCTCAGATCAAGTACCTCTACCTAGAAAGTAAACCGAAAGAAACAGGTTTCCAGTCTCTGCCGACTTCAAATGAAAAGTACACACAACAGAAGCACCACTTCCATGACGGCAGTCAGACCCACATCAACAGAACTAGCTAGCATCCGACAATAAAGCCAAGCAGAAAGCTAACACCTAGTCCTGAGAACCAACTAGCTGCCAGCTCCCCACTTCCTCCGAGAGGGCTCAACTTTACAGGGTAAGAGATGCAGCAGCGAGGGAATCCAGGCAGCCGAGCCATTTCCAAGAAGCAGACTCCTCTTCTCTCCGAAAGCCCAACCGCTCATCACCTTATCTGCCCCCACAGCGATACCTCCCCGCGCTCCTCTCGGCACGCACCGCTGCCTCTTCCCAGGCATCCCGGCGCACTTGAGGCCTGGCAGGTGAGGTGCGGCTCTCCCCCAGAAATCCCGAGCATCCCAGAAAAAGCTCCTGAGCTGTGGCAGGCACCTCTGTCCGAAACCCACGTGCACATGCTCCTCCGCAGCGCCCCTGTGCAGCCTGAGTGACAAACCATCCCGAGTGGTGTTGCATGAAGATCTTTTTTGTCCTTAAAGACATTTCTCCTGCTGGTGAAACACTTAAGGCAGCCAAAGACCTCAGCCATGTCACAGAATCACTGATTATGCGGAGTTGGAAGGGACCCTAGAGAATCACCGAGTCCAACTCCTGACCCCACAGAGCATCACCTCCAAAAATCCCACCATGTGCCTGAGAGTATTGTCCAAACACTTCTAGAACTGTCAGGCTTGGTGCTGTAACCACTTCCCTGGGGAGCCTGTTCCAGGGCCCAATCACCCTCTGGGTGAAGAGCCTCTGTCTAATACCCAACGGCAAAATCCTCACCAGTGGAAAACTGAGATCATTAAAAACCTTGTAAGACTTCAGGTGAAGGATCATGACTAACCTGTTTCTCGAGTCAGGGAACCCCTCATATCCAACCTTGCGGCGAAGGCCTGTACCCCAAAATGCACCCGATGCCCGGAGCGCTACCTGGTACCCCTCGTACTGAGCAGCTCCAGTGACTGGGGACAGCACACGCTGGGAGGACACTGCGATCCCATTTGCCCGACTCCTCTCAGAACTGGATCAACTTCAGAGACAGATATGTGTGCTCTAAAACTTTTTGTTCTGTTTTTCTTTACTTTATCCCCTCGATCGCACCGACACGAGGGCCTTGCCCTCTTCTGCAGGGTGCGAGACGGCCGCACTTGCCTCCGTGGGGAGCGCCCGCGCCAGTTCCCGCTTACCTGAGCTCGGAAGTAGAGGAAGAGGGCGACGCTGCAGACCACCTGCCCCAGCCCCAGGAGGACGAGGGCGGCGAGGAGGGAGCGGGATGCGGGCGGCGGGTGCGGGTGCGCGGGCGGCGGGGGCGGCGGCGGCGCCGGGGCGCTCTCGTGGGCGGCGCCGCTGCCCAGCTCCTCGGAGCCGCGCAAGTACTTGGTGTAGTCTCGGCTGGCGCGACGCATCGCAGCTCCGCTCCGCTCCCACGGCTCCACGCGCGGCTCCGCCGAGCTCCCCAGCGCCGGCAAACAACCTCGCCGTCCCGGCCGGGCACCTCTTATAACCGGGGCGGCCAATCAGCCCCGGGCGGCGCGCCCCTGCCGCCCTCCTCCTCCTCCCTCCGCCCGCCGCCGCCACACGCACCACCGCCGCCCCCTCCTCGCCTCGCCTCCCCTCCCCGAGCACAGACCGGCCCTGCCCCCGGTGCCCCGGCACCGCCGCCGGGCAGGTCGCCCGGGGATGGCGGTCGGCGCTGCTCCGCCCCGCGCAGCGGAGCTCCGCGGGGTTGAGCACCGCGCGGGCACAGCCCTGCCTCCGCCGCCTCCTGCCCCCGCCTCACCCTTCCCTCACTCAGGTTTGCGCTCCACCCAGGCGGCCCCGTCAGTGCAGGCTTCCCTGAGCCCCTGGTTGCATCTGCGGGGTCCCTTTCCCCTAAATTCCCGGTGTCTGAAGTCAGCGTGCGCCTCGGCTCCGCATCCCCTAGCCCCTTTGGTGGCTCCACACTCTCAGGGGACCAAAGGCTTCCCAATCCCCCCAGTCTCACTCGCTCTTCACTCAAGCCAGGCTAAAATGAGCACAGGTGCTGTTGCCTTGCACTGTCCAAAGAAGCAACACGGTTCACAACCGTGTTAAAGGAATGGGTTAAAGACACTGCAGATGTGTGCTAGCACCTGGCTGCCAGTGAAACCAGCTCAGAGTCTCCTCATCTCCCACATGCAGCCAGGCTGAGCCCTTGCTTAGGAACATTTTCTGGTGTTCTCCATGTCTCAGCTTAAATTCAATACCAAAAACTCTTCTTCAAAAATCCATGTTACAGTTTGTGGCCATTTTCTTTCTCATGTCCTCTTAGGGTCCTGTTCAGGCTGGATATAAAGGTGAGTTGAAGTCCAGCTCAGGCTTTGAGGAACATGAGAGAATGACACAGATACATCATCTTGCAGGTCATCTTGTTTGTAGAAAAAGGTCTGTGTTTCAACTCAAGTATGTGACACAATATCCTGTTTAGGTCTCTCTAATCTGGAAACTGAGAAAATTTTACCTTCCTGAGAGGTTGACAAAACCTGACGAAATTATGAGCTCCAACGTAGTAAAGGAAACTGGAACTCACCGAACCACCATGCAACAAATCACTATCAAAAGAAACTGATGTTTAGCACTGAACCCAAATAGTGCAATGGCAATTCCTTCACCAACAAGATAACACCTGAGAAATTATGATGAGGGGACCTGTATCTCAACATCACCCACCACAAAGTCATTGGGAGGAATACCCCAGTCTTGAATATCTACCACTATTTCTTCTTTGTAAATACTTTATTTTATTCTCAGAAATGCTGGGAGCATTGTGGTCTGTAGTCCAATTGCAAAAAGTGTTCCTGTAACTATGTCTCAACTTTTCTAAAAAAAAAAAAAAAAAAAAAAAGACAAAATAGCCACCATCATCTGTGAAATAATCTCACATTAGAGTGAGTTGCACCCTCCTAAATCAATTTTACATTGGTCTACGAAAACAATTCTTTCAGAAATAAATTTTTAAAAGGTAAAAATGGAATCTTTAAGGGTCTACATAGTTTTTAAAAGCCAGTCACCAATTAGTTATTAAATGATTGATAAAGAAGAAGTTAGGATAGTATGGGTGATGCCAGCACATGATATTTTATGCTTTCCTATGAAAAGGAACTCAAGAAGGATCTCTGCTTTTTTTCACCCTAGAGTTCAAATTTCTTCCTGATGACAATGGAAAAAATTTGTCAGCTCTTGCCACCTTAAGGTGCTCTTCTAGATTCTTGCAGAATGAAATGTAAGGAGACTTTCTGTGAAGAGCTATGAGGATCTGCAGACACCATATTTAAATACTTTGTCACATGTGAAAACAACTTTCTCTGGACAAATATGCTTCCTCCAGGATCACTGCTACGTAACTATCTTTTCTACTGGGTTTATTAATTATCTTCTCTACCATCTTTAGTGTTTCCATTGTATGTCCCACCAGGGAACCATTACTGCTGTCCCATGCCTAAGTGTCTTATATGTGCCAGTCTCTTGAATTGAATAAAGCCCATCTGTTTCATGTTCATCCACAACCATTTCACACTCAGAAAATCTCAGATGCAACTACAAGCACCCAGGTATTTTCATCCAAGCACCAGGACATCAGGCTCATCAGGAGTCACCCCACGTAAAACACGAACCTTCCCACCAAACCAACATTGGTTCCTAGGGTATGCTAGGGGTACACAATGACATCTGCACTGAAAACTTAGATTCCCTCATTGATTTCTACCACAAATCCAGCAACCAGAATTGCCCATCAAACTCTTTGGAAAACTTACATCAGCACCAACTTTCTAGACACCAAGGTCAACATAAAAAATAGCAACCGTCAAAATACCATATGCAGAAAATCCACAGACCAACACACCTCCTTCCACAAACCATCAGCTATCCAAAACACACTAGAAAAACTGATATAGCCCACAGACATCACCTCATTTGCTCTGAGGAAAGCACTCATGACACGGCCTCACAAAGCTACAAATGATGCTCGTCCAACACTGACGCCTCCACTAGGATAGCACATTTGAAGAAGCCACCTAAACCTTTTCCAAACTTACTACAATACAAAGAGGAAATCCCCTACTGGGTATTATATACCACAATATGCAAGAAATGTATACTGGAAAATGTGAACAAGTTGTAGCTTATATTGGAAGAAAATCATACCTTGAAATTATTTTTCCTAGAAATACCCATCCTTCCCTTCAAACCACACTCATTATCATTAGCTCCATCGCTGAAAGCAAATTTTGGCAGACCAGTATACGCTGGCTAGAGCCAGATAGCTCAGGAAATTCATACTCAAATATTGCCACAGCCCTCATGATAAACACCTGCTCCAGCAGAACCACCAAAATATACACATGCTACACATGAGCATTCTGAAATGCCATAGGCAGCACAAAATGCATTCACTGCTCTTAGGGAGCTCTGTGGGTGAAACCAAACATCCGCCACAGGGTACCTAATTAGGAAAGAACAGTGACGCCCAGTTACCAGTTGGAAAATTATATTCCCAAAACAAGTATTCCATCTCTAACTTTGCAGTCCTGACACTGCAAGACCGAAGATGGGCCAGAGAAGCAAAATTTGCAACTCTATCAGATACTGGATTTCATATCAGATGAATTTGACAGACTTCTGAGTTTCCTTGTTTCTCAAGTCTTGCTGATCTTTGATTATTGTTTGCTCTGATCATTCCACTTCTGTCACCACTTATACTCTTAATAGGGTCAAGATCACCCTCTGGTCCCAAAATAGAAAATAATTTTTTCTCAAACATCCAACTGATTGAGATAATCAAATAGAATTCAAAGTAATGAGCTACAATTACTTTCATATTTTCTCTATACTTTGGGCTCAAAGAGTAGTTCACTTGCATGAAAATTGATCTGCTTTATCTAATATGTCATTTACACAATTGTCTCTATGGGCCTAATAAAAGTACTTTCTTCTTAAAATATGTGTCATTCTTTGGGTTGTGTGAGAACTAATGACATACACAAAAGTTCCAATAAACAAAGTCCTGGTTCTGTAATATGAACTCTTGACCCCTGAGCAGGACACAACTTTTTCCTATTGTCTACATAATACTTGTGTTACAAGAGATGATTAGAAATATAGTACCTGTTGTGATAAGATTGCGTAGCTGTTAGGATTTTTTTTCATAATATTGCTTTGAAGCAAAACAGGAAACTGTGTTTACATAAAAAGGCTGTGCTGAAAGTAGTTCTCATTGCAAGGCTGATTCTCATTGCAAAGTTGAAAGTCTTGAAAAATCTGAAAATGTCAAATAGCAACAAGCTTGCAAGTCAAAATCAAACATTAGGGGGGAAATTTAGGCTTTTTAATTTTAGTTTGTTCTCTTTCAAAACACAGGGAATCACAAAACATTCTTATTCTGACCTACACTTCAAATAATACAGTGTTTTTTACCTCAAGAGATATTATGCAGCTGAAATGTTCCATTTTGGTAAAGCAGTTAAGGTTAAACAAGTATTATATTCTTACACCAAAAAGATTTTATTTTTTTCCAGTGGACATGTGTTTGTAACTAAAGTTTCTGGTATTACTATTGGTTGGAATATTGTAATTGAAATTATTTCATCAGCCAAAGCTTGTTTTTGACCTGACACAAATGGTTAATTGAATTGTATGAATTCTGAGCATGTTTCAGACAGTGAGAGTTCTAAGGAACAGCACAGACTCTTTAGGGTATGTAAAGAGGATCCTGTACTGAAACTCTGATCTACTCAGTGTGAATAGGGATGTTTTGATGAAAGTAGTGAAAATAGGCAGAACTTCCATGTATGTTGGGAGGGAATGAAATTCTNTTTTTTTTTCACTTCTTGGCATGCTATACAGTGGCTAATACAAGTAAATACGTAAGTCTAAAGAGAAGGATGGCAAAATATGACCAATAACACAGAATGCCTTAGTAAAAGCTTAGGCTTTTATTTAAAATACTGTCCTAGCGAAGTCTGGGAAACAGCAATTGATACACTGGTAAATAATTACTATATTTTAAAAGAATGGAAAAATGCATTAAAATGTCATTTAAGTTTTCCAGAAAATTGTCATTCTGCTTATTTATAGTCTAGTGGGTATGACAAAGGTCAAAACAATGAAACTGATTTTGAAATATCAACAGAAATAATTAGTATAATAGTCTTTTATGTTTATGTAAAAACACTCAATTAAGGTAATAGAAGTAATTTTGTCCTTGTTCAGGAAAAAATAACTGAAAGGAAATTGTAGGAACATTCTTACATTATTTTAGAGCTGAAGACAGCAACAGGTTGTAGGGGAAAATTTGGGAGAGGAGTTCATATCTTTCTAGGTTTCTAAAACCTAGAGAAAAACCATATTACTTATTGATAGTTAAAATCATCAGAGTCTGTTAAAAAGC